ACATATGGTACCATATATCACATTGTCCACCTACCAACATTCTGGAAGGCATACGATGGCCTATGGTCACAAGCTGCGGAGCCCACGTCCGCTGCATTCATCGCAGTAGTTCTGCTCATGCTTGCCACGGTAGCATGTCTTGATTCGGACGGCACCGGCACCGATCATCAGAGCAAAGCCGCATCAAGACTACCTGCTGTTGTAACGATCGACACCTGTGAGCGATGGGTCGAAGCTCAATCCCACAAAAAGGGCGCTGCCGAGACCTTCCAGCTCCTCTGCCTCCTGGTACTTGCAAAGACCATCAACGCTGAGAAGACCAAGCGGCGCGCCACGGAGGTAGGAGGTCTGATGTTGAGAATGATGTCTATGGGATTCCATCGGTCTCCATCCCATCTACGAAAGGCAACGAGCGAGGTAGACAAGGAGCTACGACTGAGGATGTGGACGATGATTGCAGACTTGGAGTTGGAGACCTCTTTCGAACGTGGGATAGTTGCAGTCCCGTGGCTCGCTCAAAGCGACGTCGAGGCACCTCGGAACATACGCGACGAGAGTATCGAAGATGACGAGGCTCCTGCGGGACTCCCGGCGACCACCTACTCTACGTCCTCATATCTAGCTTTGGTGACGAGATCCTTTGGGCTCCGTAGTAGGTTGAATGTCAGACTTAACACTGTTGGAGGTCGCTTCGCATTTGAAGAGGTGATGGAGTATACCCAGGAACTTACGGCAATCTCCCAAGCAATCCCGTTATCCGTTGATACTGCTCCTCAAGCCGTACGAGCTGCACTGGAACTGAAGCATCTGCAGTACATACTGGCATTGCATAGCGCCTCCCTTCGTACAGCCGCCTCCGCGGTCCAGCGAAATACGTCTATCATGACTATCCTGGACACAGCTACCTGCATTGTTGCTATACACAGGGATGTACTCGATGCGGGCAACCGCAGTATCTTACTTCTTCGCCAGGACTACATTAGGGCAGGCTTTGTTCTGGCGCAAGTCGCCTTGACTACGAATCATAGGTTACAGTCGAGCGTGTACACGAAAGCTGTTGACGACATCGTACCCGGGCTTATGCAGCAGATCGTTGAGCTACTGTCTGATCGCGTCTTTCACCTTGGCTGCGAGCACAAGTCACTGTGGTTCGTGCTTGCCACGCAGGCCTATATCAAGAGCTGCAGAGACAGTACAAGACGATCTATGTACCAGCAGGAAGCCGTCGATGCTATCGTCTCGTTATACGACAAGTCCCAAGAGGCTAAGCAGCAGGTCAACGGAGTAGCCGCGAGTCTTGCTGGAAGCTCCACTGATGCAACGCCTTGGGCTTTGGGTGATGTACCGTTCGATATGAACGGTATTCTGCCGTTCAACTTCGATGATATGGAGTCTTGGACGTTCGAAGACTGGATGGCAGACCCAATCGACTGGCAGACCGGCTCGAGTGCGCCAGCAAGTGGTGGTGCGTTCCATGGGTACACATGAAGGTCATAGGCGCCAAAAAGTCTCTTTACGCCCCTTTACGTGGAATACTGAACTCGCATTGGCAATGGGTATAGTCTTGCTTCGCTGAGACGAAGCTGTCGCGAGCTGTTGCATGGAATGCTGGACACTGGCGATCATGGGGTTAGCGGCGCTGCACTGTGGCCACTGCTGCATCAAGAGTAACTCGGATTTGAACTGTAGTGAGGCGCTACCGCTACGTATGAGTGGCTTGTGCAAGTAACTCCTCTGACTGCTACGCTGACGCGAGTACATCGCTCAAAGTGTTGACGAAAAGAACAGATTCATCAAGTTGGGTCCCCCACACAACTCCTTCTTATTCCCCGGACATGTCATCGAATTCGACACAGGACACGAGATCGACTGCGCGCCTCCCGCACTATTCACGGCGTTCCCGCAGAAACACTGCGTGCTGTACTCGATCCTGCAGCGATGTCAGTGGATGCACGACCCTCCCAGACGATAGCGTACGTACGCCGCGTAGTGCATTTCTTGCCCAAGACAATACTTGATGCAAAGCTCGTTGGTCATGTTCGGGCTGTCAGTCGAGGGCCCGGTCAAGCTTCGGCCAATGTCGTTCGGAGGATCCGTCAGACAGCCTTGCGATCGATACTTCCCGACAGAGGACTTCGGCGCTGGTACTACGAAGTCCGTCACATTGTAGACACTCAGTGCGTTGGCGCCACCGCAGAGCTGAGGGTTGGAACCAGCACAGCGGATGCTGCAGACCGAGTCGTTGGTGGGACTCGAGGTGGTGTTGAGGAGCTGTGCGACTGACGCGAAGGCGTTACCGCAGTAGCACTGTAAGATATGTCAGTTAATCTATGTTCAAGTGCGAGGTCCGCATAAGTTACTTGAGACCCATATTCCAAGCCGTAATACCGATATCCCGGCCCTCCTGCGCAGAATGCCGCGCACACCTCCACAGTCATATCATCCGCCTGCGTGTTGTTACTGTTCAAGGTTCGCGGATCCAGATCAGTATAGCAGCCAACGTAGTTGTCTGCAAACGGCGCGAGCGGAGTGTATGGGACAGGTAAGCCGCCGTTGGCTGTCTCGCTCCCGTTCGCCACGAATGCCGGATCAGTGTTGTTGTACAGATCGATCAAACTGTAGCCGCCGCAGTTTTGACGATAGCCCAAGCTCTCCACCATCGTGCGACCACAATTCCAATTGCAGCCTAGTTGACCTCCCACCACAGTGGGGTTCAGCACGTTACCACAATGACACTCTTGAGCATACTCGACCCCTGAGAGGCGATATCCGCGGTCATGGCAGACACCCATGCAGTACTCTACAGTCATGTTGACGTAATTGGCTTCTGAGTAAGCGTTGAGTGCGCGAGTATGGCCGGCAGTGTCGTTGAAGCAGCCAAGATAGATCTGGTATTCACTCCCGAATGACTGGCCAGGCGCTACAGACTGCGTCGGTGTGGCTGTAGTGTCTTTTGTGGCAATGATCTTAGACGGTATGACATCTTTCGGACACGTCATTGATGCTGCCGGGGCCGCTGCTGGACCTGGGGTGATTGTGATACAGCCTGGCAGCTTAGCTAGTAGTCCATCTACGGGCTCATCGATCGGACGTGGACGTTGAGGACAATTCACGCCGTACGCGCTAGTGTCTACAGCTTGTAGTGGTGGGCATGCGGATATTTGTCCAAAGTCGACAGTATTCAAGCAATTCTTGACGGCGTACGTTTGGATCTCCATTTCCCAGCCGTTCTGGAAATCGGCGTGGAATCCGTAGCCTGTAGGATCGCCCTGCGCAAATACAAAGCGGCCGTCTGGTGTCTTTCCGGGAATGTCGTTGACTTGATAGTTGATCTCGAGGAAGATATGAGGGATCTGAACTGGATGGGTGGGCGGGCATATCCCATCATCGATACGACTTTGATAGGCAACGTGGCTGTTGTCCGGTTTGTACAGATCCTTGCCGTTCCAGCAGCTCTGGAAGTGGACCTGTGCTCGCATGCCGTCTTGGCAGTCTGTTTTATACATGTACGGCTGCTCTGGCTGGTACAGTCCGTCCAAACATGCGAAACTTATCCGATCGGCTACTGGACGTCCGGGGTAGTCTGCTGTGCCGTAGGTGAATGTAGCGTTGTCGTAACTTCTTGCTGCCTTGTCGCCACTTAGAACCATGAAGCCTGGGGGAAAGGGTACGGTGTCGTTCTGCCCTGGACCACGGCCAAGGTAGTACACCACGCCGCCACCATGAGCTGTCTCGATGAACGATCCGTTCGGGTACTCGTAGTAAAGAGTCGGGGACCAGTAAGCGGACTTATCAGCTTGGATCTCGCAGGACGAGCAATCTGAGTCCAGGAGTGACTGGTAGGACGCATTCACGCCGATGTCTGCAATATGTCAATACTTTGCTCTTCGGATGAGCGATGACCGCACTTACTGCTGCCTCCGAGGATCGTGTGTGAGTGAGCAGCCAGCGTTCCCGGGTTTACGAGTGGGTCTATTCTCCCAGATTGTACAGTCGCGCAATTGATTCGGAAGAAGGCATTGGTGCCTTGCAGTGCTGTAAGAGCCAGTCCCACATATGTTCTCATATGATGGGCCATATTGGTCGCTATGGAAGGCCTCAAGCGTGACCCTACGCAAAAAAACTTTCGGGTCGCCAACGTTCTTACTCCTCGCTGCTCGATTCCCTCGTCGTATCCGTTTCGCTTCTACGCTGGTCACTCTGACAGTGTGAGGGAGTCTAGCGTGTCTTCGTATACGTTGCACGATCTCGCTCGCTCGTCACTAGAGTCCAGAGCTCTGGAGTGGACGATGTGAGATGTGCGGTCGATGCTGGAGCAGTGGTCTGAATCATAAGGCTACATAACACCTACAAAGACAATGGAAAAGCAATAGCATGCTCCTTGTTACTGATGGCTCCGTTGGATGCAGTGGCGTCCATCTCAGGATCTCGCACGCGCTGAAGACGCGCCTGTAGACAGGAATGAGACAAAGGAATGTGGCCACCAAAACCATGGTAATTAGCCAAGTCATCTGGACTACCTTGGTTGCCACAGACGCATCCAGTGGTCAAGGTCTGATGTCTCGTAAATTCGAAGGGCATCATCTGGGTGGGCTTGGGAAGCTGGCGGAGTGCGGTTGTGCTAGAGTAAATGTGACGGCAGCAATGGCTCAACAGACCAGGTTCAACCGACGGTCCATCGAAGTCCGATTACTCTGAGTATCAATAGTGTCCAATGAAGATGCGGTCCGTGGAGTGCTCTCGGTGATTGTATGTCGAGAAGACAAGTTTGCACGCAGGCAAACACTTGCTCAGCGGTGAAAAGCGATCGCTTGCCTTGTTGGTACATGTAACATTCTGTTGGATGAGCAGGCGCGTATGCAATGGTGGTTAAGCTGTTGTTCACGCTGAAAGGAGACGTGCAATTCGATTGCAGCGGAGCTGAGGCGACAGAAGCTTGCTCGTAGCGATGAGATGGTTGAAAGTAATTATATACAGTAACACCCGGAAAATTCGGGACCGCATGATTGGTGGAAGGGTATCATTAACGCTTCCCATCACACGGAAACTGCGTTAGTACCGAGTTCGAGTCTCGGATCATGCATTTCATTTTGTCCTCCTTTTGATCATCTCGCAATATGGCAGATGTCTTGTATGGATTCTGCGTAATGGGCTGGTTGGAGTTGTACGTTGTAAGTGCAGCCTGGCCGACATGACAGCGGGAGGTATCGAAAGCTTCCAGGTTCGGAACGCCTCCCCACGGCTTCCCCACGGTTGAGAAGCAACGCTGGACGTCTGTACGACGGAGCAGGCGCCGGATCCTTTTCTTTCTTTTACAGACATCGGTGTTGGGGCGCAAGATGCCTTCACCGCCCTGCCTCGTGCATCTGCAATCACCCTGTGGCTTGAGGGATTAGGGGCATGTCTGATAACGCTGCGTCCCATCAGCCAGTGAATACGACCCATCCGAGACAGCCGCAGTGATAGCGGCTGCCATACTTCTCAACAGGGGCCATGACAGCAGCGTTCCTGCGAAACCGAGACGCGTGGCATCATTACCTTCCCTGTAGAGACAGCTGATCTGATCTTACAAACAGAAACAGGCACTCCGTGCGTGTCAAGACAAGGCGGCTTAAGTGTCCGTGGAGGCACGCGGGTAGGTGCGGTTGAGGCTCCTTTCCCTATATCTCGTCTCCTTCTCTATACACTCTGATATCAATCCCTGGGAATCGCACACTCTATACAACGGATTGCTTTGCTTGATCCTCTCCATCACTCCCGCCATGGCCCCTGCAGTTCTGATCGACGACACGAGTGCGATCTCGCAACAGAGCACTATACCGAGCCGTTTCCTCTCAGACGACCACTTCCCTCCCACACCGGCATCTGTGCCAGACAGTCCAAGGCAGAAGGCAGCGAATGGCCGGACTGCGTCAAAGACGTTCGGAGAGCACCTCGCCTGGGTGATCGAGCACAATCATGTGCTCCAGAGATGCATCGATGCCAAGGCCGAGACGGCCATGAATGAGGACGTTATTGTCTTGTCAGGAGAGCATCTGACCTTGGCCGAGCTCGTTGCTGTTGCTTGGTAGGTGGAGGGCATATCATCATGGGCGAACTCTCCTGATCGTGACCTGCAGGTACAATGTCCCTGTAACAGTCAGCAGCGATAGCAGAGTGAGGAATCGCGTCAACACCGGCATCGAGTTCCTGCAGCAGCATCTCGAGGCAGGCAACGTTGTGTATGGTAGGAAGGATCTCTCTTGCTTGCATGACGCATGCACTCACACGCTCCAGGTATCAACACAGGATACGGTGGCAGTGCAGACACCCGCAGCAATGATTTTGCCAACATGCAGCGTGCGCTCATCCAGCATCAGGAGAGTGGCGTGCTACTGCCTTCCGATCTGGGACGTTTTGACAATGTGTCGTCAGCCAATCTCCAATCTCTGAAACCACACAACCTGCCACGTTGTGTTGTCCGCGGGTCTATGGTTGCCCGGGTCAACTCTCTCCTTCGTGGCCACTCTGCGGTTCGGCTTGAGATCGTCGAAGCCATCACGACTTTGCTGAACCACGACTTTATTCCGGTCATCCCACTCAGAGGCAGTATCTCCGCGAGTGGCGATCTGTCCCCGTTGTCATACATTGCTGGTGCACTCGAGGGAAACAGCGACATCCATCTCGATTGCGCGATCGACGGTGGGAGACGTCAAATCATGAGCGCAGACAACGCTCTCCGCATGGCTGGACTGCAGCCTACGATCATGAGACCAAAGGAGGGTCTTGGACTCATGTAAGCTCACCAGACGACACCTCCCTCAACTGCTTTCCACTGACTCGACACTCAGGAACGGCACAGGTGTCAGCTGCGCTGCCGGTACAATGGCACTTCACGAGACACAGTATCTCGCTCTTGCATCCCAAGTCCTCACAGCGATGTCCACAGAAGCCATGCGAGGCAGTGCAGACAACTACCATCCCTTCATCTCTGATGTTCGACCTCACCCCGGCCAACGTGAAGTCGCCGAGAACATCTTCCGCCAATTGAGGAAGTCTCGTCTCGTCGTTGGTAAGGATGCTCACACAGCCGGACTGTACCAAGATCGCTATGCTCTACGGACTGCACCTCAATGGCTTGGACCGCAGCTGGAGGATCTGAGTCTTGCCGCCTCACAGGTCGCCATTGAGCTTAACTCCACGACCGACAACCCACTTGTTGATGCTGAGAATGGATACGTTCATCACGGCGGCAATTTTCAGGCTGCCTCGATTACTTCTGCCATGGAGAAGGCGCGGCTATCGCTGCAAATGATGGGAAAGTTAATGTTCGCCCAGAATACAGAGCTCATCAACACAACATTGAATGGCATATTGACGCCCAATCTGGCCTTCGACGACCCAGGGCTGTCGTACACCTTCAAGGGTATCGATATCAACATGGCCGCGTACCAGTCAGAGCTGGCCTACCTGGCGAACCCGGTCAGCAGCCACGTGCAAAGTGCAGAGATGCACAATCAGGCAATCAATTCGCTGGCTCTCATCAGCTCGCGCTACACGATGGATGCAGTAGAGCTCGTCTCGCTCATGACTGCCACACATCTGTACACAGTCTGCCAGGCTCTCGACCTGCACGTCCTGAATCTTGAGTACATGGAGCTCATTGAGCAAGAGGCCGAAGCATTGTTTCTTGAGAAGTTCTCAGATCTCGCATCGACCTGGCCCGAGGTCCTCGTCGCCATCAAGGCCGGTCTACTCTCCGCTAAGAGCAAAGATACGGCATCCCGCGCCGCCGCAGCCGCGGAAGCGACCCTCATTCCCATCACGCTTGCCCTTCCTCGCAATGGCTCCATGCCACTCAGTACCCTCGACTCCTGGACCAGCGACCTCACCGCCGTAATCACCTCCGCCATCCGGCAGACCCGTATCCGCTTCGCCTCACCTGAAGGTCCACCTACCCTGCAGTACCTCGGCTACGGCTCGGCGATAATGTACAGCTACATTCGGCATGATCTGGGTGTACCGCTGCATAAGGGGTTGGTGGAGCATCCTACTTACCCAAGCAGCGAGAGAGAGGGTGTACAGGTACAGGGAGAGAAAGTGACGATAGGGACGAGAATTGGACGAATCTACGAGGCTTTGAGGAGCGGTGGGATGAGAGGGGTGTTGATCAAGAGTTTGTCGTGAGTTAGACGACGGATGGGCAACATGGATGAGGCGTCTTGGAGTCAAAGCGATGCACTGGGTGGATTTTGGAATAGATGTGACATTCATAGTTTGTGAACCGTGGTATATACCTTTCGAACAGAGTGAACCCCGCTGCTACTATGAGCGCGCCTGCAACATTGCATCTCTCACTTATCGAGCGCGAGAGAGGGGAAGACTTGTCAATGTTTCATCGTTTTAGATTAGGGCCTCTCGCTGACATTGGAGCAATGCCCTTGACAGTCGCATCAAAGCAGATCAGGTCAATGCGTCGTCTCTCCGTGTAGTGTAATACCCCCGAGTACGACGGCCATGTAGTTGTCGCTGCTGCACGAGTACCGGGCACTGCCGGTAAGATCCCGGGCCATGCAGTATCCACATTGTCACGTAAGCTGCGATGAGTCTACACGTCCCTTGGTCGCATGCCAGTTCGAACACGCGGACCTTGTGTTTGCGACTCACAATACGACTGGTAATCGGCCTACCGGAGAGAGGCCGTTTGAGCGCTCAGCGTCTCGGCGAAGGCCATTGAGCGCACCCGTAGGGCTCATACATCGTCTTGATATAGACTTGGCTGGGGAAGTCTCATGCCAGGTGTGTAGATTCTTCAAGCAGGCTGTGGTGGGAATATCGATCCCTGCAAGTGTCAGCTTGGAAGATCCAGCTCAAAGTCGGAGTCTACACTTACGATGAATCCCTCCAACCCTCCCTCAAACATCTCATTTGCCACTCCCACACCACCCGGATGCTCCGCCGGCGCCATGGGACTTTTTACGACGAATTCCACATACAGCGTAGCCCAGATTTGATGCAGCACAGTCCGCATACTCCCCACGCGCGTGTCGGTCAGCATGATAAATTTCAACTGCGTGGGCGTCTCGTAGTAATGCAGCTTGTACTCATTGGTACGGTACGAAAGGAACTGGTCGTCTTCGCCACCAAGCTGCCGCACCATACGTCGAAGCGAGAAGATGGTGCCGAAGATGAGCTTAGCGTCGTCGGACTCTGACAATGCCTTGCGGGCTGTAGGCGGGAGGGACGACTTGGTCAGGGAGGTGACGGCCGCATGTGGGCGTAAGGGCTGAGCAGAGTTGAAGCGCTTGGTGTAGATGCACTCGGCTGCGACAACTTCATCAGCGATGTGCCTTGGTTGTTGGAACCGTAGACGTCGATCTCGGCGCCGCCGAGGTGGCGAGAACTTACTGTGTCGGTCGAAGATGTAGAAGGAATAAACGGACCCTGCCATTGGGCTTGATTTACGTAGATCGGAAAGGTCAAGTCGGCCAACGTGATACGGTGAAGTCGGATATGAGCTTCATGCAAGTAGGACGTAGTCTTCCGGAGTCGGTGCCGCGTGCCGGTGTTATAGGCTCTGCTGCCAGGGATGTCGTTGGTCGACGTTGGCCCCAAGGCGGGCAAGGCAATTCGTTTGCTGCAGGCGTAGCCCGTCCCCGCAGAAGCTATGGACTAGTCCAGAACAATAATCGTTGCACCTCACCTTGCGATTGATAGTGACAGCCCGGCGGACACGTGCGATTGCGGGATAGATCTAAGGAGATAGGCGTGCTTCCGGTTGTATAATATAATTTGGCTTCCAGGACTTCACTCCGTCTGATCTCACTTCATCCCCAATGCACCACAGAGAACTCGAGACTGCCGATCGCAACGGCCATGGCTGACCAAGCTGACTCCACCCCTCCATCATCAAATGCGCAAAATCAAGAGCGACCACACCCGGTGTCAGCACCTCAGAGTGAGATCACAGCTCAAGGCATACTTGAGACGCCCTCCCATGGGATCGAAATCAACTTCCCTCCCACAGCCGCAGGAGCTGGCGAACAGAGTGGCCGAACAGATGGCAGTCCTCAATATGTCAGGCATATGTCCATGCCAACATAC